AACTATAAGGGTGCGATTTATGAAGGAGAGGCGCCACTCGCGATGATGGATCGTTTCGGTTCACTGCTGTGTGCACACCAGCCAGCATCACCGTTTGATTATCAATCTGGCTGGTCATTTTGTGGGAATAGCTTGATCAAAACACCTTGCTCAAGGCGGCAACGGCAGTGGCTCTCACCTGGGATTTGAACCTGCAACCCCCTGGTTACAAGGGCAGAGGGTCAAACATCCCAGAGACCCATCCAACACAGGCTTCTCTGGGCGGTGCCAACACAGCACTAACGATGTTTAGATCAGCGACGTGCGTGCTGTATGTGGGCTGCCTCCATGCACCTCATTAAGGGGTGGGGGCCGGAGGTAGCCAATCAGCAGCCCACCTTTGGATTTTTTTTAACACTTCTCGCTTGTCCTTAAGAGAGACGGGACATCTTTAGTTGGCACGCCCCCGGATGGGGAATTTAAAAAAAAAAAGCTTGGCTCGTCAAAACACCCAGGCAGGGACACTGTCTGAACCACAGTCTCGGGGGGGGGGGAAGATAGGGGCAACAGACCTCCCGCCTGAAGAGAAAGCTGAATCCCCAAGCCCATCTAAAAACATGGGCTGGGTGATGCCCAGCAAGAGATCCCTGGGCCAACTGCAGAGGCTTCCCTTAAGAGAAGTGTGGAACACAAAAGGGAGTCTAAATTAAGGCAATCTGCCACTTGCATCCTCTTAAAACACACGAATCCTCTCGGGGGCGAAAACCAGAGTTCATTATGTGGAAACAGTGCGTTAGAATTGAATGCTTCCCATGAGGGGTTCAGTTGCCGTCATTATAATATAGAGTTACTGTAAAAGCCCTCTGGCATCAAGCTGCCAATTGTGTCGGCCTCTTCAGCCCAACCCCCTGCTACCTACTCCATCATTTTTCAGGGGTCTGTGGGAAAAGCTTCCCTCCGACCACACCAAGCAGGAAAAGGGCTGAGGAAAGAGGAATCGTATTCGGGAAAGAAAAAAAAATCCCATCCGTCTCCGAGATGCCTGAGTGCTGGTGCTCTCGCTTTGGAGTCAAGTTTTTTTTTTTAACAGAACTGTAAACTCACCAACGGATAAGGCCACATCCCTGAATTCTGAACCTCGGAACATTTTCCCGGCAGCAGAACACTAATAGGTGTCCAGACTCTGTGGCTACTGTCACACACCAGAAACCCAGCAACTTATATCCTCCTCCCCACTACCTTGCATGGAGCAGAGCAAAGGAGACTAACTCCAAGCTCACCCACGGCCTGAGAGCAGGGCCAGACAGAGACGCTCACACTGAAGTATGATTCTTGTCCTGCAGGCGCTTGCAAACGGAGCTGCAGGCAGGGTGTAGGGCCTGACGCAGATGCTCACACGGACGTGTGTGTGTGTGTATTGCACTGTTGTTGGTGGTGAGGGTAGATGCACGCTAGTTTAACCAGGGCACAGGGTTTTTTAAGGCCACAGGCAGGAGATACCCGAAATTTTCCATCAGTCCTACAGAAGCATTACGTCAAACTGGAAGAAGCTCCCCGATCAAAGTGAAGTCTTCGGGGAAACAGAGTTGCAGGGATGGACAGCCTATCAGAATGAACCTTCCTGTCCCTTCAGGTCAACAGACAACGCCTGGCTATCATGTGGCCTTACCACACTCACACTGTGATCTGTGATGTTTTATTGGACTTTCACTGTAATGAAGATTACTAAAAGACCACGAAGAAAAAGGTCATCATAGATCCCATGGCACTAGCTGTAAAATTCCACTCTGGTCTTATACAATCTATCCTTCCTCAAGTTTCTCCTTCATTCAGCTGGTTTCTCTCTCCTCCCCTGATCTGTGCACTGTCTTACCTAAAGTTGACCCTTAACTCACCTTGGGATAAAGCAAGTCAAACACTTTCAGATGAAAGGCACCATAACATTGGATTATAATGTAACTATGTTGGCATTATATATATATAGCATGACAATATATTGTATTGTTTGTATATTGTTATAAGAAGATGGGACAAGTACCCTCATCCTGAAGACCATTTTCTCATAAAATGTTTTATTGCCTCACAGCTCAAGGGATCTGGGTTCAATTCCATTTTGGGGCAACTATCTGAGTAAAGGGTGCATGTTATAGCCAGTATTCACCGTTTCCTGCTTCCTCAGGGAGATGGAAGCTGTTCCCAACACAATCAGAGAATCAGAGAAAATCACCCTGGTTTGGACCAGCACCCCAGCATTCGGACTTTCTGACGTTCTCAAGACTGCAAGGCACACTCAACACCGGCACCGAACGCATCAAACAACTGAGCAGCAATACAGAGTCAATACAGCACCGTACATACATCCACCCCTTCATCCAGTACAGAGTCCAGTACAGGGCGACCTAGCCCAGCAAGCAACAAGCGCAAGGTTGGGACTTTAGACTGTTTCAGGGCACACACTCACACCAGGGCCAATTTTCCTAGGAGCCAACTGACCTTCCAGCTTGTCTTTAGGAAACTGGTGCTCCCGGAGGAAACCACACGAACACAAGGGGAACATGTGAACTCCACGCAGACAGTGCCTTCAGCGCAGCGACAAGAAAACTCAAACAGCACAACTCTCGATTGACAGCTTTCCACTACATACAAAAAAACATCCCCTACGCTGGCTCCCAACTCTACTCTGCCCTCCTGTTCCAACTGCATCGCCCTGCTCGCTGGTGCGCGCCTGCCGTCCGTCACAGGGCAACGTCAGCTCCAGCTTCCCAGCGTCCCAGACAGAACAAACGGGGCAGCCAGGGTCATTTCAATTACCCTCTGCTCTCCTTTCCTGGAAAGAGCCACCCCCTCCCCGGCTGAACCGTTAATATATTTCCCGACAGCTCCTCGGCCCACCGCGCTGAACTAACACACGCATGCTTCCCCAGCCCGAAGGACATGAGCAGCTGCAGCGCTGGGTCTCTGCCCCGGCCCCAGCTCTCCGTCTGGACCGAGCAATTGCGTGGTGGTGAGCGGAGACCCCCCCCTCCGCATTCCCTCACGTCTAACTCCCTTCGGCTCGGCCCCCGGTCAGGCGGGGGGGGGCATTACGGATTACCGCGCACAGCGAGAACCGCCGCCGTGAGCAGGGCTCCTCAGTGAAAGCTGGCGGGCTTTGGAGTCTTCGAACCGAATCGGCCTCAGGAGAGCGGTGACTTCACACAGGGGTGAGGACCCCAGACAATTCACACTTCAGCCGCAACGAGACAGCCGCCGCAAAACCACACAGCTGCCCTCACACCTCCCTGCCCGGCGCACGCCGGACCTCTCACAAAGCAGGGGGGGAGGGAGGAGGAGGAGGCGACGGCGGCTGTGAGCTCGCATCTGTCTCTGTAGTGACATTTCTGCCTCCAGTCACTCGTCTTCAAAATGTTTTGCGCAAAACGGGGGAGGACCCCCAACACCTCTGTAACAGAAATGTTACATTAAAAGTACGACACCAACCGTCAGCCGAACCAAGGAGTTTAGCGCCGTTTTAGACCCAACGAAGTTAGAAATATCCGCAAACACCACCACTAAGGTCAGACAGGGGGTATTGACAACTGCGCGTTTCATTTTAGTGGTCAAAACCAGCCAGGACCGACAGGGCTACTGAAAAAACACTTATCGTGAGTTTTCTCTTTAGAATTCAACGCGCAGCCACGTTTGGCCGCGGTCAAGCCACACCGGTGGTCCCGCCGAGACGTTCCGGGCCGGCGGGTCCGACTCACCTTGATGCGGAGAGCCTGATGGATGTCCGCCGCCAGCTGCCCTTTCCACCACTGCCCTTCCGTCTCCATCCTTCCCATCCAGCCCGGGGGAAAAGGACGGCCGGTGAACCCTGCGGAGATCACAGCGTGGGGAGGCCGCGTCAGAGCGCTCTTTGCGCGGCGCTGGCCGGACACAGAAGACCGGGGCGCCAGGTCCGCTGAGGAACCGGCCCGCCGCGGCTCGGAGCTAAACCTGCGCGGTAGCAGGTCTTGCAAGTGGCGGAGCCCGCTGGCCTTGTCACATGAAGGACCACTTCGCCTGTACTTCCAGGGTTGAAACCTCGCTTGCTTTAGGAAACACCGCGACGAGCTCCAGATTCGTCAGTCATTCACTGTGAAAATCCCGAATAACCGCGTCGAAACCATTTTCGCCACCGAAAAGTGCTGTTCGGTCTTTTAAAACAACGGCCGCCGACGTTTATTCCGCCAGAAAACACAACCCCGAACAAACATTTGAATAACACACGTTCATAAAGTTTAAGTGCTTTGTTTTTACGGCCGTAGCGGAAATGGTCAAAGTGCTCTTGACGCGGATCAACCCGCACAAGTTTTCGCCTTTGAAGCGTCCCAAGCGAGCTTAGATCTTAGACACCCCTTCCTCCTCCCCCTGGGTCTCACACAACTCGGCATTTAAATGTCTGTGAGTTTCACGCTGCCCGGCTCCGGCGTGCGGGAGAAGTACTCACAGCTGTTACTGAAGCCCTCAGCCACCCCCCACGGCCACGCCAAAGGCGTTTTAAACCGGTCCGTGCTTACAAATGGGATTTAACACCATAACCGCATAACTATGAAGTTGGAACAGCAATGAGCACCTACGTCTCGCAAAACTGGAAATTAAGCACGAATATAGGCTTCGCTCGATCGGTTTAAAAGTGCGCCTGTGAGAATTCGCAGTTTCTGTCCAACTACAGGCGCTTTATTTATTTATTTCGCAAAAGCCGTCCTACCCACTGAAGGGCTGCCTTCGCGCAAATACCTGTAAAACTGCTCTTCTGAAGAGTTTGAGATTGAAACACGGGGATACAACTTGGCTGGCTCGGGCAACACGGTCGTTAGGCAGGAAGAAAAACACACGTACACACCGAAGAAAGAGAGGAGAAAGAAAAGGCACGCTTTACCCTTCTTCCCCAGCCAGACAACCGCAGCGCCGGACCCTTTGTCTCAGACCAACATCCTGAAATCACCAATCCCCGCGTGGAAGTTTCTTTGTATCTCCTGATTTTAGGGAAAACCGGGCGGAAAAACTCTCCTCCGTCCCGGGAGACGCAAAGCCGGAGCTCCGAGTTCCACACGGGGTAGTGGGAGATTTTGTACTTTTCCAAGAATTTGTGCCGTGGTCTCCCCCCCCACTCCCGACCCTTTCCTCTACTCGCTGTGGATGGGAATGGCAGTGTTTCCAGCGCAGCGCCGAGGAGCCGGCGAATGAACCTGCACAGCAGGGGATGGGAAGGACGTTCACGGCATTCTGGGAACTGTAGTCTTCAAGAGCTCGGCAGACTACAAACACAGCTCCAGGGCTTCGGTCAAGCATCGCCCAGAAACCCATGTTTCACATACGCAAACCTTTCCTCTCGTAGACAAAAATCTATAAAGTCCAGAGCTATTCTTTCATATAGGGGGCCCACTTCATTGACCCCACTGAAGTGTTGTCCCTCGACACACAGATCAGGGGAGGAGAGAGAAACTGTACAAGACCAGAGTGGGGCTCAGTCCTCCTGCAGCCCCACGACACACAGATCAGGGGAGGAGAGCAGGAACTTGCTTTTCCATAGAGTACTCCCATCCCAGAACTTGTTATAATCATTAACTTATAGTTTCCAGAAGTTTGCCCAACCTGCCTTCCCAGAGTGTCAGCAATGTTAGAAATGAGAGGACGGCCATGTGTGTCAGCTAGCCAGTTTGGTAGTTTTATAGTTGTAGTTCTTGAAGGAAACCAGGGTATCAACAACATGGCTGGGCATCTTGTTCCACACTCCCACCACCCTTTGTGTAAGGCTGTGCCTCCTGTCCTGCCTGAAGGATCTCATCCAGCTGTTTCTTGAAGAAAGCCAGGGTTCTTGGCCTCAGCAATGTGGCTGGACAGCTCATTCCACACTCTCCCAGCCCTTAATATACATAAAAATGCAGCAGAGCAACTTGTTCCAGAGAAGACTCCCCAGCACCACAGTACAGAAGCGTGATCATTTCCAGTCCTAATCCACCCAACCTCACTTGTACTAGTAACTTGTTAGTTTCACTGTTGTCCTGGTCTGACGGCATCAAACCCCTTTGTAATCTCCTCTGAGGGAGACAAGAGGACTCAGTTTGGAGCTCTGGCACTGGCCCTGCCTCTGACTCACTGCTGGCTGAAAGGCAAAGGCCAGACGCCACAACAGTGGCTATCAGCCAGGCTGACACAAGTGCTACAAGACTAGGATTGACTCAGCACTGCTGCGATCTGGAGGTGAACTGTTTCGAGTCGTGGGTGAACGCCCTGCACGCTACAGGTTGGGTTGAGGATTTGGATGATGCTGGGCAGGGGGAGAGCTCAAGGGGGGCTCTTGGCGTGGCTAAGGACTGTCGACAGAGCCCTGAGGCTCTCACAAACAGAAATGGTTGCTGGGTGGGTCAGGGTTCCAAACAGCGAAGTCCACAGGCTGAACAAGGCGCCTTGGAAACCTTTCTTATTCATCTTTGCTCCTCAACATAAGAGCCATGTGTGCTTTTTTATAAATGGAAACAAAACTCTCCCCTCAAAAATGAGAAGGTTGCAGCATGTAGCATATCATCCTGCAACTCACAGCCCCACTGAAGCCCAGCAGGTGTGAGCCTGGCCAGTACCTGGATGGGAGACCGACTGGGAAAAAACTAAGGCTTCTGCTGGAAGAGGTGTTAGTGGGGCCAGCAGGGGGCGCTCACCCTTCGGTCTCTGTGGGTCCTAAATCCCCCAGTATAGTGACATGGACATTATACCATAAAAAGGCACAGTCCTTCGCATGAGACGTAAAACCAAGGTCCTGACTCTCTGTGGTCATTAAAAATCCCAGGGAGTTTCTCAGAAAGAGTAGGAGTGTAACCCCAGCATCCTGGCCAAATTTCCCCCTGGCCTTTACCAGTCCTGGCCTCCTAATAATCCCCATCTCTGAACTGGCTTCATCACTCTGTTCTCCTCCCCACTGATAGCTGGTGTGTGGTGAGAGTACTGGTGCACTCTGGCTGCCATCGCATCATCCAGATGGGGCTGCGCACTGGTGGTGGTGGGGATCCCCATTACCTGTAAAGCGCTTTGAGTGGAGTGTCCAGAAGAACACTATATAAGTGTAACTTATTATTATGTAACAGCCAAAATGTTGTGTCTGTTTTCTTTTATTTTCAGCATGGAATAAACCTTCACCTGTTCCTATGTATATGTAGCATGTGGCACCATAATTAGCATTGCTGCCTCACAGCTCTGAGGCCCCGGGTTCATTTCCTGGGGTGCTGTCTGTGTGGAGTTTGCATGTTCTCTCTACGTTCATGTGGGTTTGGTCCAGTTTCCTCCCACAATCCAAAAAGCAGGTTAATTGGCTTCTGGAAAAATTGGCCCTGTTGTGAGTGTGTGCGCGTTTGGGTCTGTGTGGCTGTGGAGTTGAGTGGTGTCCTGTCCAAGGTGTACCCTGCCTTGCTTTCTGGGACAGACTTTGGTTCCCCTGCAAACCCGAAGTGGGCTGGTCAGAAAGTGGAAGGATAGTATATATATCTAAGTCACAGTTCTGGGTTGTGATTTTGCAAAGGCTTTTTAAAATGATGATTATGAAAAACAATTACAATTAAATTTCAGATCAGGAAAATCAACCAAGAAGACAAACCTTAAGAAGTCTGTAAGTCATTCTTACAAGAACTGAAAGTTGCACATCATTCTTGGGTGTCATGATACCTTGTGATTATAATATTTTCTAGTTTGCAATGATCTGTTACACTTTACATTTCCATCGACTGGCAAATTAACAAGAAAGGACTGCAGCTCCCGGCTTGAGGGGCTCTGCACCCCTGCAGTTTTGGGGGGCAGGGAAACTAAATGTACCATGTCCTCTCTGCATGTACCAACCAACTCCCGGGCACTGCCAAACCTCTCACCCGCCCTGTGCCCGCTGTGGGCGCTCCCCTACAGTACAGACAGCCAGCCGACCAGAGACACCAGGCCTGCTGCAGGCAGATCGTCCTTGCAGAACTGAGCTGTGCCGGAGCCGCTGTGCTGCGCCCCTTGTGCGGAAACTCCCCTCGAAAGAATTTTCTACGTATCGTCCGCTGCTCCGGTCCACGGGCCCCGCGGCACCTCATCTGGCCCGAACCGGTCCTTCCGCGCGTCACTGAAGGAAGCCGCAGGGGGAAAACGGGGAGGGAGGCGGAGGCCCTAGGCCGTCCCCGGCGGCCTGCCCTCCACTTCGTTGAGGAAGTCCTGGTCGGGGTAGATGAGGAAGCCGGTGAAGAGGCTGTCGGTCCAGTAGGGGTCGAAGAAGAGCCCGTTCTGCTCCGAGTAGAAGATCTGCAGCCACACCTCGTCGCCGCGCTGCAGCCGCAGCACGGTGGAGCCCGAGGCCACGTCGTGGTTGCCCGTGTTGGCGTCGAAGGTCCTGATCCTGTACTGCCCGTTGTGCACCAGCCCGATGGCCAGGTGCTTGTTGGCCAGGGTGATGTCGTAGGTGAAGTAGTAGA